TAGTTTCGATCTACTTAGGGTTTTCAATTTTTCCCCTCTTTTATTTTTCCTGTTCCTTAAGCTCGAGAGACCCATTCATCAATTTCTATCATCGTCTCTCGATTTCTTGGGATTTTTTTGTTTCTGGGGTTATATATATGGTTCCAAGTTAGTTTCAATTTGAATTGGAGAGATTTAGGTCTTTAAGTTTTCGAGTTGACGGATTCAAGCAAGTTCTTAAATCCCTTGCAATTTTCCGATTCTCATAGCCAAAGTTGATTTTCTTCTTCGAAATTGGTGGTGCCCTTTTGATCCAACGCTAATGGTTTTCATTTGTTGCTTTGCAGGGTGGAAATGGGAATCTCTGTGTTGAAGGTTCTTGTCAGCAGTATCTCGTCGTTTCTGAATCTGTCATCTTCTCGACATATCGATTTAGACCCATTTGAGAAGTATTATAAGAGAGTTGAAGAATTGTTGAGATTGTTGAAACCAATAGGAGATGCTGTTATTAACTCCGATCTTGTTTTGGATGAGAAATTGGGTAAAGCATTTCAAGAATTGACTCAGGATGTTGATCAATCCATAGATCTTTTCAGAAGTTGGCAAGCATTCTCCAGTAAAGTCTATTTTGTAAGTTCCCATACTTCTCTCGTCTCAGCTTTTTGTTTCAAAGCCATTCAGAAGTTGCATAACCATGTAGTAGATATTCAATGTATCCTTGGTCTTTCATGATAGACCGATAATTACAGACATCTCTATGTTCCTTTCGGTTACTCGACTGTTGGATTTCTGACTGTAGCTAAGCTGTCTTTCGGTTTTAGCTTGAATTCTTAACGGTTTTAAGATAAAACTGGTGACCATCGCGTTATTCTGCTTGAGTTTTGGTTACTGATATATTGTTTTGTTGATGACATCCTCTTATTATCACATCTAGGTCCTCCAAATTGAATCTTTGATACCAAAGATGCGAGACACGATTGTGGATACTTTCCAGTTTCTGAAGTCTTCTGAGAACGACCTACCTGATGAACTGAGTCCAGCTTCCCTCGAGGTACTTTCTCTTTACCTTAAAAGGAATCTTGTATCAGTTTCCATGGGTGTAAATGTGGTGGTCTCTAGAGAGCATTAGCTTTAGTTTGGAAACTAAAATGGGTTTCACTTTCTGAGTTTTTTCTGAAGGGGTTTAATCATATTGATGCTGACTGTGTTATGTTTTGTTGCGTCGTCTATGTTAGCAATTGACTCAAATTACAGGAGATGCCAATGGTTAATTTACAATTATTCGTAATTGCAGCAATGTCTAGAGAAGATTAAGCATCTTACTTATGAAGAAATATCTTCTGTCATTGATGGTGCTCTGAGGGATCAGAGAGATGGTGTTGGACCCAGCCCAGAGATCTTGGTAAAAATTGGAGTGAACACTGGGCTGAGGTCCAACCAGGAGATTCTCATCGAAGCTGTAGCTCTGGAGAGGCAGAAAGAGATTGCTGAGCAGTCTGAGAATAATGCGGAAGTCGAGTTCCTTGACCAACTGATTGTCATTGTAAACCGCATGCACGAACGTCTTCTTCTGATCAAACAGACTCAGACATCTAGTGTTGCAATTCTTGCCGACTTCTTTTGCCCTCTGTCGCTTGAAGTAATGACTGATCCAGTGATTGTGTCATCAGGCCAAACATATGAAAAGGCTTTCATCAAGAAATGGATTGATTTAGGTTTAAAAGTGTGTCCCAAGACTCGACAAAGTCTGACTCACACGACTCTAATACCCAATTACACGGTGAAGGCCTTAATTGCTAACTGGTGTGAGACAAACGATGTCAAGCTGCCTGATCCCAATAAATCAACGAGTTTAAATGAGCTATCTCCTCTTTTGTCATGTACAGACTCCATTCCTGGCACGGATGCTGATCTTTCTGCTCATAAAGTTAGCAACAAGTCACACGATTGGGATGCTTCTACATTTGAGACCGGAAAGCCCTCATTCTCAAGCCGAACAACTGAAAGAGAAGGTAGGGACGCTTCTCCTTCACGTCCCCCTTCTGCCTTGGACGCTTATTCACCAGGTGTATCTGGTAATGGGTATGGTTCGGACGCCATGAGGATATCACAAAATGATTTTGAAGATAGGTCTAACGATTCTCGAGAATTGAAGACTGATGCACCTGGTAGGTCATCTGTATCTTCAACTACACGTGGCTCAGTTGAAAATGGACAAACATCTGAGAACCACCATCATAGGTCCCCTTCTGCTACGAGCACTGTTTCCAATGAGGAGTTTCCTAGAGCAGATGTGAATGAGAATTCAGAAGAATCAGGTCATGCTACACCTTACAGTAGTGATGCTTCAGGAGAAATTAGATCGGGGCCTCTTGCTGCAACCACTTCGGCAGCTACTCGTCAGGATTTGTCCAACTTCTCCCCAAAATTTATGGGACGTAACCGTGGTCAATTTTGGCGCCGTCCATCAGAGAGGCTTGGTTCGAGAATTGTTTCAGCGCCTTCAAATGAGACGAGGCGTGATCTTTCTGAGGTCGAAACCCAAGTTAAGAAATTGGTGGAAGAGTTGAAAAGCAGTTCACTGGATATTCAGAGACAAGCAACCATAGAAATAAGGTTGTTAGCAAAGCACAACATGGATAACCGGATAGTCATAGGGAACTCTGGGGCAATCGTCTTATTAGTTGAATTACTTTACTCAGACGACTCAGCTACACAGGAAAACGCTGTTACCGCCCTTCTCAACTTGTCCATCAATGACAACAACAAAACTTTAATTGCTGATGCTGGTGCAATCGAGCCGCTCATTCACGTGCTCAAAAATGGTAGTTCTGAAGCGAAGGAAAATTCAGCTGCTACCCTCTTCAGCCTCTCTGTAATAGAAGAAAACAAGATTAAGATCGGTCAGTCAGGTGCAATCGGACCTCTTGTGGATCTCCTCGGTAACGGTACCCCTCGGGGTAAAAAAGATGCTGCTACTGCATTGTTTAATCTATCGATACATCAAGAAAACAAGGCGACGATCGTGCAATCTGGGGCTGTGAGATATCTTATAGATCTGATGGACCCAGCAGCTGGAATGGTGGATAAAGCTGTTGCTGTTTTGGCAAATCTAGCTACAATCCCAGAGGGAAGAAACGCGATTGGCCAAGAAGGCGGGATCCCTCTTCTTGTTGAGGTTGTGGAGTTGGGTTCGGCTAGAGGGAAAGAAAACGCTGCAGCAGCTCTTCTTCAACTTTCAACCAACAGTGGTCGATTCTGCAACATGGTTCTTCAAGAAGGAGCCGTTCCTCCTCTTGTCGCTCTCTCACAGTCTGGTACTCCCAGAGCCAGAGAAAAGGTACAACAAACTCTATAAATATTTCATCTTCCTATTGATGCTTCTGGTTAAAGCAGCCATGAATCTCTTGATTCTGATTGCTTTTGAAAAGTTTGATGTTCTTATAACGTTTTTGGTGGATGTTGTAACTTGTCAGGCACAGGCATTGCTCAGTTACTTCAGAAACCAAAGGCATGGAAACGCAGGGCGTGGCTGATTGATGATGATGATGCATAGATATTGGTTCCTCGGTGCCTATTTTGTGTTTGTCTTCTTACCGAAGTAGTGATTTTGTACAAAAGAGGTTTCTTCTGCAAATAATTCCATACCCAAGATTTTGTTGATTCTCTGCATTCTTTGAAGAAAACA